GATCATAAACAAACCTTAAATTCAACAATAAATTAACTAAAAAGAAACCTCACCTTTGTCTTAAGCTCTCATACATGAAGAAGAAAGGAGAAGAAGAGAACTCTGGAAACTTGGATTTTTTTCTTTCTTTCATCCACGTAGGTTAATATATAACCATAAAATTTTAATTATTTCTTACAAATGACCATTTTGTCCTTCACTTCATTCTTCTTTGATATTTAGTCCTATACAAAATTTCCCATATAAGTCCTTGAACTATTCAATTATCCTACTTTAATCACCAAATTCTGAAATTTTATAATTTAGTCATTAACCCGGTATTGAGGATGTTACAATCAAACTTCCTCATCACGTAGGAACCGTGTTATCTCCAAATTATCCCTAAAGACAGCTAGACGTCCTCATCACGTAGGAACAATGTCATCTACCGACCAGATCTCCTCAACGCGTAGGAGCAGCGTCATCCTTAGGCAATCAGACTTCCTTATCACGTAGGAACAATGTCGTCCACCGATCAAATCTCCTTAATGCGTAGGAGCAGTGTCATTCTTAGGAAATCAGACTTCCTCATCACATAGGAACCGTGTTTTCTCCAATTATCCTTAAAGATGGCTAGACGTGCTCATCATGTATGAACAAATTCGTCCACCGACCAGATTTCCTCAACGCAAAGGAATAGTGTCATCCTCAAGCAATCAGACTTCCTCATCACGTAGGAACTGTGTTGTCTCCAAATTTATTTTAAAATGGCTAGACTTCCTAACCATGAAGGAACAATGTCGTCTACCGACCAGATCTCCTCAACGCGAAGGAGCAGTGTCATCCTCAGACAATAAGACTTCCTCAACGCAAAGGAACCGTATTATCTCCAAATTATCCAAATTGACCTCACTTCCTCAACGGGAATTAATAATGTCATCTTCAACAAACAATTTATCTTAAAGCGACCATATCTCTTCAACATGGATGAGCAGAGTCGTCTTCAACACCAAATTATTTCCAGATTAACCCGATTTCCTCAACGAGAATGAACAACATCATCTTCAGTAAACAATTTACCTGAAAGTGACCAGATCTCTTCAACACGAATGAGTAGAGTCATCTTCAACACCAAATTATCTCCAGATTGACCCGATTTCTTCAACAATAAGGAACAATGTCATCTTTAACAAACAATTTATCTAAAAACGTTCAGATCTCTTCAACATGGATGAGCAACGTCATATTCAACACCAAGTTATATCCATATTGACTCGAAGTCCTCAACGTGAAGGAACATTGTCATATCTGAATCATCTATTTTCAGACAAAAAATTGGAGCTCAGATGCAGAGCGAACATCATAGCTAGACAAAATTAGGCAATTATTTGTCTTTGATTAGTCATTGTTTACACAACAGATGAGCAAAGAGGAGCAGTTGTAATACCCTAGTTTTGTCCAAAAATAAAAGAATAAGCAAAATCCAGGGACTAAGCTAACAATTTTACGATTTGTAATATTGGTGGGGCTTTAAAAGCCAAAAAGAATTCAGAAAAACACCCTCGTTTCAGGTAAGCTAGAAAAACAGAAAAATAAAAGCTCTCTTTTCTTCAGTTATTTTTTTTGATTTTCCAAGTTGTTTTTCCTTCTTTTATTCTTAGCATTACCAGGGTGAGAGGAAAGAGTGGTGAGTGGTCGTCGGTGGTCATTCTATCATCGTCGTAGATCGATTTTTTTAGTTTCGGTGAGGGAGGGGGCTATTATACTCTATTTGGTTAGTTTTTTTGTTGGCCACCACAGGTGGTGGCAGGTGAGAGGAGAGCACCGCTAGTAGCGACGACGTCGAGGGTGAACGAGGCCATTTCACTCGAAACTAGAGAGAAAGTAGAGATGAGAGGGGGAGATAGGGCCGGTTCTTGACTCATTTTTTAGGGTCGTTACTTGACTCATTTTCGAGGGCCTTTTCGGCCTCTTTTTGTTTGGTCGTCGTGGCCGACTTTTTGTGGGAATGTTTGCGGTTGGGTTTCATCGGCCGACATTGATATGGTGGCCTGAAATGTGACGTCCGGTGAGTTGAGGAAGAAGAAATAACATTTCAAGTGATTTCAGGTTCATGGGGGTGTTTAGTTTATTTTTGGGTAAATTTCGTGCATAGTCCCTCGATTTCATAGTGTCTTCATTTTCTGGTAGTCATTCCAAGAGAAAATCATGCTAAGGTCCCCCATATTTAGCCTTGTTTTTACATCTGGGTCACTATGCATATGTTGTTTTATTTATTGTGACTCACTGTTTTGCTTTCATATTGTTTTGGTCATTTATTTATAGTTTATTTATTCTAACTTTGGTATGATGTTTTGTTTATTTTTAATTTTGTCACTGATTTATTCTATTTTTTATTTTATTGCACATTAACCACTTACTTTTATTTTCTTACATTCTAACAATTGTTTATTTATTTATTGTTTCACTTATTACTCGACCTTGTTGTGACCCGATCCAGGGTAAGATCCACATTATTATGGTTCGGACTCTGCTAACCACTAACTTTTTATTTTATTTTATTTTATTTATTTTATTTTTATATATTTGTTTGCAATATTCAATTCGACTTTGTGGTGACCCGATCCGAGGTAAAATCCATATTATTATAGTTCGAACTCTGCTAACCACTAACTTTTTTTATTTTTTATTTTATTTTTTATATATTTGTTTGCATTATTCGATTCGACCTTGTGGTGACCCAATCCGGGGTAAGATCCACATTATTATGGTATGGACTCTACTAACCACTAACTGGTAACTTTTCTAACTTACTAACATTCTAACTTTTATTTTATTGTTCATACTAACATACTGGCTTTTTTATTTTTATTTTTCTTATTAACTTACTAACATTTATTTTATTGCACAAACTAACCGCTAATTTTCTAACATTCGAATATTGAAATACCTTGCGGTGATCCGTCTTGGGGGACAATCCGCATTATTTATGGTCCGGGTTAAACGGTTAAAAAACCCTCTAACTTTTAAATTTATGCAATTTATTTCTTTTTTTATTTATTTTTTCCCGCACTTTAAATTCCAGTATTTTAATTCTCTGCACTTTAACTTTCTCGCGTTTTATTTCAGTTCATTTTAATTTCCAACTTTTAATTTTTTGTATTTTCTTTTAAGCATCTTAACTTACACTTAATTTTATTTTAGTCACTGATATTGCATGTGGTATTTTTATTTTTAATGCCTATACTTTTAACTATTTACGTTTCAACTTTATTTATTTATTTATATTCTTATTTGGTTGGTATTTTAATCTTAGTTGTTTGTTTATAAATTTGCATGTTGGTGCCTTGTTTATGCTAGTAGGCTATTGATGTTCGACTCGTATTTTAGATTTGAAATCGAACTTGGTTATCTTTATTATTGCTACCCTTTTATGCACATATCTTCATATCTATATTATTATTCGAACTTTATTTTTTTATATAAATCATCATTTTTTTTATATATAGAAAATATAAATTTTATTGTGAGGGAAATTTATGAAGACATCTCTCAACTACAAGGGAAATTGTCTTTTCAAAGAACAAAAGTTTTTTTTGTATTCGATTGTCTTTTTTTTTTTACATTTTTTTATTTTTACCTCGTTTTATTTTTATTTTATTTTATTTTCATTTTTATCTTTGATATGAGAAAAAATGTGAGGTAATGTTTTTTTGGAAGGAGAATCTATGGGAAAGTCTCCTAACTACAAAGGAAATGCATTCTCGAGGATTGTTCGCACAAAAAGGCATTCTTTTATCTGAGCATTTCTAGAATTTAATATAATATTATACTCTTTTAAACTATATCATCCATAAAATTAAAGAAACACCATTTTGTAAGGGGAATCCAAGAAAAAGTCTCCTAACTTTAAAGTAAGTGCACTTTCAAGGATTATTCGTACAAAATGATGTGATTTCTCTCGTAAAAATAATTATAATTTTTTGGAGTTAATTAAACAGCTTTATCCTATAAAATATATTTTGGGCTCTTTAAAAAAATTTACCCATTGCATTTATCATTTGTCAGCAAATTTTTATTTCCTTATTTGCAAAAGCAACATTGTTTTAGTTTTTTTTTTTTGAAAATTGACATCTTTTAAATAAATTCAAATAAATAAAAGGATCATAATTTAAATATATTTTTAAGTTTGTAATTTTCCAACATTTAAACATCATATAATCATTTAGGTACCAAGACTTTGGCGTTGTGGGGGTACTCACTCTTTCTCATACGTATTCGACTCTCAAACCCTTAAAAATAAATTTTTGGTAAAACGTATACCATTTTTTTTTCTTCTTTTAATGATTTTCCTGAACTCATTAAAATGATATTTTATGTTTTCAACCTATCAATTTAAAAATTAATGACGACTCTAAAATTAAATTATTTTAAAATTATATTTCATGGTCTTTCTTCAAATTAATTAATTTTTAAGTTTAATAAATTCTCGAGAGAGACGTTCTGACAAGAGTAATCTCAGCCTATTTAGCCCATACCTATCAGCAGCAGCAAGCAGGTGCTTAGACATCAATCGGAGGCCCACTTTGAGTTGAGACTAGTGAGCTCTTGCATGTCAGGTAGAGAATCCCAGTGTATAAATTGAAGTAGGGTGTGAAGAGTGCAAAATTAAGCAGATACAAAAGATATCAGTAATCATTACTAAAGAATGCTTGCTCTAGCTTGATGAGTAAATAGTAACTTCAAAGTCGGCCTGATTATTATCATGATTTTTGGGAAATGTAAGAAATAAATATACATTAACCACCCAAGTGTGTTACATTAAGCAATTAATGACTCAAGTCAGTACATGCCATAACCTTGACTTCAAATACCCAACCCTATCCTAACGTTTCTATTGAGAAGTATTCACTTACTAATTACAGGCATCAGGGTGGCTATCAAAGGCAAATTGATATCATGGATATGAAGGCGTATTCATGGCAAGTTGACGACACCATGCATCCATTGTTGGTGCATTATCAAGGATAAGAAGTAGCATGAGTTTTTTGTCCAATATAGGAGGGGGAAGTGCACTGAACCTTGAAAACAAGAGCTTCTATTTCTTCAATTTTAATTTGCTTTGTATTCTGATCCTTCATTGGTACAAAATGTTGTGCCCTAAACACAGGATAACGAGCAGCAAGTACCAATTTATGGGCAGGAAAGACTTCCCCGTCAACTTCAAAGCTTACATCAGTACCCTTTTCACTTTCTAGTAGTTTCCCGAAAAGTTGATTGATGTTTGAAGGTGGTACAGCTATGGAGTAGATCTTAGGACCCTCTGTATGTGACTTAGCAACACCAACACTACAGTGAACAGAGAGGCAATCGTCTTTGAGGTAGTCTGATTGCTCAAGTAGTGTTCTTTTGAAAAATTGTTTATATCCCCTGCAGCAGATCAAACGAATTACCCCAATGCTCACCGATAAGTCTTGTATACTATGAGAAATAACAGAAAAAAATAAATAACTATGCTTCTTTTTGTTCATTTTTCAGGGGAAAGACTGGAGACAGGGTCAAACCCTGGGACATGGCAAATTCCTCAATGAAGCATGCTAAGAACCCATGGCCAAGTGACTAAGCCTAAATTCTAATATATCATAACCAGTAAATGTCTTATTAGCAGATTTTGCATAGTTAGTTAAGGATCGTATTAGTCACTGAATGCTTTATGAGGGCAGAAAAAAAAAGCTACAGTTAGTTTAAACAGTAGTAAAGACACTGAGCATAGTTGAAAGAAGATAGAAGCATAGCTTCAGAAAAGCATCCTTCCACAAAAACAATCATACCGGAGTCATATGCAAAACATCTTTTCTTTCCAAGGAAAAAAATTAAAACATATAGCATTAGCCTCGAGCATTCAACAGAGCAACTGTATTCAATAAAAAGTAACTTCTATACAAGTTCAAAGCTCAAAAGTCTAAGAGCAGACACTTGACTAAATAATAGACTTTTATTTCTCCTAACTAATAGGAAGTTCTGCCACTGCAGCGGTTAAAAAACAACTAAAAAATGGTGTAACTAGTTAAACAAGTGAATAGTTAAAATTTAGATCGATTATGTTATATCATTTAACCGGAAATATTATCAAGTACAATAACATATTAGGTAGAACTTATATAATGTAATAGATAGCACTTATATAATGTAATAGGTAGCGCTTATATAATAAAATAAGCATTTAACCGGGAATATTATCAAATACAATAACATATTAAGTAGCGCTTATATAATGTAATATGTAGCGCTTATATTGACTTATTTTCTAACTAAACCGATATATTTATACCGGTAACATTGCAAATTTACGTATTACATTATAATTATTAGTTTCGATGTTTTTTGGATCGATACAATTTTAAATGTATCGACACTTTATGCTTGCACGTCGTTGGGTATTCATTTTGGAAAAAAGTATCGACACAAATTTAAAAATTGTCGATATATTATGTTGACCTATTCTCTCATAAAACCGGTATATTTATACCGGTAATATTACAAATTTACCTATTACATTATAATTATCGGTTTCGATGTTTTTGGGATTGATGCAATTTTAAATGTATCGACACTTTATGCGTGCACATCGTTGGCCATTCATTTTGGAAAAAAGTATCGACACAAATTTAAAAAGTGTCGATACATTATGTTGACATATTCTCTCATAAAACGGTATATTTATACCGGTTACATTGTAAATTTACCTATTACATTATAATTATCGGTTTCGATGTTTTTGGGATCGATACTTTTAATAAATGTATTAGCACTTTATGCGTACACCTCGTTTGGGCATTCATTCTAGACAATAAGTATCGACACAAATTCAACAAGTGTTGATACATTCTGTTGACCTGTTGGTAGATATATACCGGTATTTTTATACCAGTTACATTTTTAATTTACCTATTACATTATAATTATTAGTTTCGATGTTTTTGGGGTCGATGCTTTTAGAAAATGTATTGACACATATATTCACTTATTCTCTCATTAAACCGATATATTTTACCAATTACTTTATAATAATTGGCTGCGATGTTTTAAGGGTCAATACTTACAATAAATGTATCGACACTGTTTTGGAAACTTTATGTTTGAGAACCATATTGGATAAAATATGGGAAACAAATCTTTGTGTTTACGAATTTTGTCATCAAAAAGTCTATTTTTACCCATTTTTACCACCTACATTGTAAATTTACCTATTACTTTAAAATTATTGAATTTTGTAGTTATTGTACATACCTAAATATGTCATGTGAATTTAATGTTGTGCCCACCCTTCAACTACTACTACTAATACCACATCCTATTGAAAGCACGACTGAAACATGTTGTTCAATGAACATTTACTTACTTACATCTCTATCAACTTCTGTTGGGACCACTAAACTTGCACAACAAAATTTTTGCCATGGATCATACTGATGCAGACAATGTTAAGCCAACCAAGGAATGCCATGAAGTACATAATGTTGATAAATCTGACAGATTGGTTGGTCAGCTCTTCTCTTCATGTGATCAAGCTTGGTACTTTTACAAGGGATTCGCACGGGAACGTGGGTTTAGTGCACGTCAGGGAACAACACGGCTTGACGTGGAAGGGAATGTGAAGACACGAGAATTTTGTTATTCCAAAGAAGGGTTTCGAGTATCAAAAGTCAATAATGTTGATCATCAACGTGCTCATACGCCAGTCAAAAGAACAGGATCTTGCTGGGACCGTCGGCGCACACCATGGCGCAGCAGAAACAAAACTCGACGGTCTCACCAGCGATCCAAGTACAAAAAACTGAAATCGGGAAGAAAAGATGCGAATACTTACAGCGGGTTCCTTGAAAAATAGCAAGGAAAGCAGTGAATTCTGGTGGTGTAGATCGGTTCGAATCGTAAGCCTCCACAAAATCACGTCTCGGTCTCTACTCAGTTCACCCGATTGAGAGCAATTTTGTTTTCCCCCAAAAAAATTTTGAGAGAAAGTGGCTGAAAGTTTTGTGTGTGTTCTTACAAAAACGGCTGCTAGACCTAACACACCTTTTTATAGCCAAGTTACCCTAGTCATATTAGGGTTTTTATTATTTCAAATTAATTAAATATATATTTAATTAATTGGAATTTAATAATCCTTTTATATCCAAGTTACCCTAATCATATCAAGGATTTTATTATTTCAAATTAATTAAATATATATTTAATGAATTGAAATTAAATATTCGAGATTATTAAAATATATACTTAATTAACTCTAGATATATTTTAGTAACGTACAACAAATTATACATCTTTGCTCGTTTCAATCTTAGGGTGTGACCTTGTAGGTTCTTGTAACATTAGAAGTAATTATTAGAACAATTTCTAATATTACATACAATGAGTGACATCTAGCAATATATCATTATAACCTAAGTTACAAGAAAATATGATTCGACATATCATCTTGGTGATTAACTCTTTTATGTATTATATCCTTATGTCCTTTATATCTAGAATAGGCACAAGTCTTGGAATAGTCACACTTGTATAGCCAATCTATTGTTTCTTGATTTCTAGAGTAGACTTTAATTAACAAATAGTTTATGATATCTCATATCAACTTATTCGAGCATGGCCATGCGTTTCTAGTCTTACTCAATCAAGTGGCCTGTGATATATTTCCTATTATGTAGGAAGGACATATCCTATCTTAATCATACATACCCACTACATATATTGAGATATATTCTATAACAGTCTTTATAGAGCAACCAGTTACGGAGCTTGTTTAGCTGCATCAAAATATACAACAATATATGTTGGGATAGTATTGATCTCAAGTCTGAGGATCATACATATAGTCATCACCATGAGCAATGTTATGACTGTCACATAATAATCCAAGACATATGCTCATGGTGGGTCAATCCAATACATTATTCTCTAACAATATAATCATGTATCAATTCTGACATCTCGTTGTCATCAATAAAAAACATGTTAGTCTTAAGCGTATTATTATTGTCCATGTCCATAATAGTACTTGACTAGGGATCTTTTAATAATAACAATTATGTCATTATATGAACTTTTTTATCTTCCTGTTTATGTTAAACACATATATAATTGAAAATAATAACGGCAATGCCTTTATTCAATAAAATCGGTAAATAAAAGTATTATTACAATCATCATATGATTGGTCTTTGGGCATACTCTAACAATCTCCCACTAGTACTAAGACCAATCACTCACATATCTAATACCGAGTGACTCAGTGTGACGATCATGCCTCTGCTGTGTAAGAGGCTTCGTCAAGGGATCAACAATGTTGTCATCCGTGTGTACTCTTCATGTTTCCACATCTCCTCGATCACTCGAATGAGATTTAAGCGCCTAAGAATATGTTTGGATCGTTGATGAGATCTGGGTTCCTTTGCTTGTGCAATGGCTCCATTATTGTCACAACGGAGTTCTACAACATCTGATATGCTGGGAACAACCCCTAATTCCATTATAAATTTCTTGATCCAAACAGCCTCTTTTGCTGCTTCACTAGCTACAATGTATTCAGCCTCTGTTGTAGAATCAACTACTGTGTCTTGCTTCGAACTTTTCCAGCTCACAGCACCTCCATTAAGACAAAACACAAAACTCGATTGCGATCGTGAGTCATCCTTGTCAGTTTGGAAGCTGGCATCAGTATAACCTTTTATACAAAACTCTTCATCTCCTCCATAGACAAGAAATTTATCCTTAGTTCTTCTTAAGTACTTAAAGATATTTTTAACCGTAACCCAATGATTTTCACCAGGGTTTACTTGATACCGACTTGTCATGCTTAAAGCATACGATACATCTGGTCGAGTACATATCATGGCATACATGATAGAACCAATAGCCGAAGCATATGGAATCTTATTCATCCGTTCTCTTTCTTGTGGAGTTGAAGGATACATTTCATTCGAAAGAGAAATGCCATGTCTCATAGGCAAAAATCCTTTCTTGGATTCTTCCATACTGAACCTTTTCAGCACTTTGTCTATATATGTACTTTGACTGAAACCTAGAAGTCGTCTTGATCTATCTCTATAGATCTTAACTCCTAAGATATACACTGCCTCACCCAAATCTTTCATAGAAAAACAACTTAACAAAGTCTAAACAGACTGTAAAGTAGGTATATCATTTCTTATGATGAGTATGTCGTCTACATACAAGATTAGGAAAGAAACAATACTCCCACTAGCCTTCTTATAAACACAAGGCTCATCTTCATTTCTGATAAAACCAAACTCTTTGATTGCATCATTGAAACGAAGATTCCAGCTTCGAGAAGCTTGCTTTAGTCCATAAATAGACCTCTGTAGCTTACAAACCTTTCCAGTATTTCCTGGAAAGAAAAAACCTTC